TTTAAATACATTGTACAATAAATACAAAACATAAATAAAAGACTCAAATGAAGTACTGAAAATCTTTGTACAAGATATAAATAGTTTGAAATATTTCTACTCATATAGCGTTACCTTTGGCAAGTCTAGTTTACAGTTGTTCAACCGCGGTAACAAAAGTTTGTCCCTTTTTCAACAGAATCAAATGATGGAATCGAACCCGCTGCACCTCGGGACAGAGACAGGGGACAGAAGCTCGGGGACAGAAGCTCGGGGACAGAAGCTCGGGGACAGAAGCTCGGGGACAGAAGCTCGGGGACACGTCCACCTCACGTGGACCACAGTTTGATATTTACCACTTTCTCTCTGGGCCCTTAACGTCACGTCTCCTGCGCGTCCTCGTCCCGGTGCCATCCGCGGAGGGGGGACGGTGAGGGGGGAGGAGGGGGGAGTTCAGTTTAGGAAAGCGTTTGGAGTCACCCTCTTTTGATGGGACAGCATCCCGGGGAACCCCGCGGACACGCCCGGGGAGAAGGCCGGTATGGAGCTGTTTCTGAGGGAGTCTGAGAGCAGGGACTGCGGGGAGCTGCTGGAGGCCAGGCCGCCGAACCCCGGAGCGCCCTGCTGGAGGTGCGGCGGCGGCGGAGGTCCTCCTCCTCCTCCTCCTCCCGTCGGTCCCGCAGCCGAGTGTTGTGTCCCTGAGACAAAGTACCCGGCCGTCTGCCCGGAGAGCAGCCCAACCGGAGACGTGCTCATCCCGTAACTGTTCGTCAGGCCCAGCGCCCCCGCGGCCGACCCGCCGAGGATGGAGCGCCCCAGGTCCCCGTTACTCAGCTGCTCCACCGCGGGCAGCAGCGACCCGTAGCCCGCAGCCTGGTTCAAAAAGCCGGGTGAGGATCCGTTGTAGTGCGGGTGGTGGTGGTGGTGATGGTGCAGGGAGAGGAACGGAGAGATCTGCCAGTACAGCGGGTTGTTCGCCCGCTCGTTAATCCCCAACCCGAGAGGAGCGAAGCGCAGCCCGCGCTTCATCGCCAGTTTGCCCCGGGAGGTGGCGGAGCGCCGCCGGAGCTTCCCGGTGGTTCCCCCGATGAACACGTCGTCGCTGCTGGGGTCCAGCATCCAGTAGTTGCCCTTCCCCGGGTCGTCGTAGTGTCTGGGCACCTTGACGAAGCACTTATTGAGGCTGAGGTTGTGGCGGATGGAGTTCTGCCAGCCCTGCTTGTGCTCCCGGTAGTACGGGAAGTTCTTCATGATGAACTCGTAGATGCCGTTCAGGGTGAGCCTCTTCTCGGGGCTCTGTCTGATGGCCATCATGATCAGCGCGTTGTAGCTGAACGGAGGTTTGTCGTATTTCCCGTTTTTCCCGCTGTTGGTACCGGTACTGTTCTGCTCCTGCGTCGCCTTGGCACCGTCCCCCTCTCCGCCTCCTCCTCCGTCCCCCTCCTCGTCCCCGTGCTCCTCCTTGCCCGGTTTCTCCGGGTCCAGAGCCGCGGCCGTGGAGTCCACCTCCGGCGGGTCCAGCGACCTCTCAGAGTCGGAGCCCGGTGACGGGGAGAAGGTCCCGGGGACACCGGCGGCAGCGGCAACGGAGTCGGGTCTGTCGCACTTGGAGGGCAGCAGGAGGCTCTTGATGCTGAAGGAGGAGGACCGGTGGACGGTCGGCGAGTCTTTTACATCCTCCATGCCCGGTGGCTCTCCTGCGACCAGGAGTAAATAATAACAAACAAAAAAGAAGAAGAAGAAGAAGAAGAAGAACTCCAAGCTCGTCCTCCTCCGTGATCCGGGCTGGAAACGAAAGAGAGACAGAGGAGAGAGAAAGGAGGGTCAGGATGAGAGAGGCATGGATGGAGGAGTGGAGAGAGAGAAGAGACAGACAGAGAGAGGGGGGAGAGAGAGAGAGGGAGAGAGAGAGAGGGAGGGAGCGTGGCTGCAGGAGAAATTAGTAATTAAGGAGGTTCCGACATCAGGAGGAGGAGCTTGTCCAAGTTACTGATTTCATCAACAGCTCCTCTTTTCTGCTCCTTCGTCTTTTATCTTCTCTCTTTAATCTCCCTCTCTCTCTGTCGCTATTTACGCGCGTGCACGCCTGCCGAAAGTCTCTCGTGTGATGGTGCCGTGCGTCATGCCCCCCCCCCTCCCCCATCCTCTCTGTGCGTGTGCGCGTAAAAGACCTCTCCGTTCGGAGCTTGTGCGTAAAAGCGCACCGAGAGTCGGGGGAGGCCGGAGCCTCCGCGGCTTTGTTTGTTCAACCACAATAATGGTTCGAGTCCGTGTCGGCAAACACGGCGCGTGCACGATCCGTGCGTGTGCATGTGTGTGTATTTTTTGTTAAGGGGGGGGGGGGGCTGGAACACTGAGCGCGCCGCTATTGTCTGATAATAAAAATCATTGTGCCGAACCGGAAACACACACACACACACACACACACACACACACACACACACTCACACACTCACACACACACTCAAACACACACACACACACACACACAGCCCAGAGGCAGCAGATATGATTCTGGAACGACAGCGCCCCCAGTTGGTAACAATTACAACTGCAACACAAATATTCCTAGTTATTTTCGGAATATTATAAAATAAATCCACTCTACTACTACTACTACTACTACTACTAATACTAATACTACTAATACTACTACTACTGATACTTCATCATAGTAATTGTAATAACTTGTTTAATGAATCGTTGTGTTAATCCTCATTAAGGATAATTGAGTGTGAAGTCTAGACTTCATATTTTCTGGTTACTTTGTTCTGTCGTCTGTTTTTCTTCTCAACCATAGTTCGGTGTTGAGACAAGTTCAACTCAGAAAGATTCAAGTTGTGTTTGAACGTAAAACAATCAGTGGAATGAAAGTAGAATTAGTGGGATTAGTTTTTGTGTGTTTTGTGTGTTTTGTGTGTGGGTCGTTCTCTGCGGGGGGGGAGAGAGATCATCCTGTAGGGAGATCAAATTTACACAGAATGTAAACAAACACTTGCATCAAGAGATTTCATGTAAAAAGAGACTCTTCATCCTGAGGCCTGGTTAATAATGAGTGTTGTTGTAAAGACGCAGTCGTGTTGAAATCACATTTAATTAATGAAAAATAAAATAAAAAATAAATGTTGTCTATTGAATTTATCAGGACAATAGAATCTGAACGTTCACATGGTCTCTAAATAAAATCGCTCAATTTAAAACTCCATCATGTGAAATTTGCAGGAAAACTCTGCAGATGAAATGTCGGATGTTTCAGAGTTTTTAACTTTACACCAAACTGTAAATGTAGTAAAAATAAAATCAGCTGCTGATTCCTGTTTATTCTCTGTGCACGACTTCTACCAAATCCTCTACTCCAGTAAAAGTAGAAATATCACAAACTAAAATACTGATTTACTGGATGAAAGTAAAAGATATTTGTTTTGTTCCAGTTTCAAAAAATATCATATTTCATAAACTGGGTTCAGTGACACTGTTTGTTTTCGTTCTGCACATTTTGTTTGACAGCAGAGCTGAATCCAGATTACACACACACACACACACACACACACACACTCTTCCTCCTCAAATCTACTGTATTAATTCTCGGCTGTGTTTTGCTGCCAGATGGTGTTTCTGTTTCACTGCATGTGAACTTTCAACAAAGAGTCTGCTTGGGCTGCGTTAACAAACACACACACACACACACACACACACACACACACACACACACACACACACACTTTATTTATATTATTCTTAATTTCAGCAGTTGATTTTTTTATTCCGGGTCAAACTCTGAAGTTCATCTTGAGCATCTTTACGTTTTGTAAACACATCTCAGATTCCCTCCAGTACAAACAGTGAACGAAGCAGCTTCATGTTAAACTCAGTGTTTCTCTGACTCGTCTCTGAGCGGCTGTGAGAAACAACGCTGTCAGAAGCACTGAGAGGATATGACGCCACCAACAGGCGACAGAGTGAAACGCACTGCGGCTGTGTGGTTTTAAAATCAGACCCTGAGGTGTGAGAGCTCCCTAAAATAAAGGTTTGTGGCTTTGTCCTCCTGGTGGTTAAAGACAAAGAGAGGAAGAACTCTTCTTCTCCTCCGTCTGCAGACTCTGGCTTCACCTCACGTCCTCATCAGACAGTATCAGTCCTCTGGACTCTGGTGTCAGTTTTTCCGCTGGCCCAGCTCGCCACCAGCTGCACAGATTACAGCGCTGTTGCCAAAACAGCACGAGTATTTATGAGCAGCTTTTAAGAGTTAGATTATCATGAGTCTGGTCTCACTAAACATGAACTTGGCTGACTCCTCGTCCACTCGCCAGATATCGTAAGCTCCTCGTGGACAGAAACCTGATGTAACCTCCCTGCTCTTCATAACCACGTCTTCCTCTCGAGTCTGAACTCCAGCTCGAGCCGCTGCTCTCGTCAGAGACGTGAATCCCAGTGAAGATCTACTCATCGAGCACAGTGGAAGCTGGAGGATGGAGATTTAAAGTTGCAGCTGAGGCACAGACGTCCACATTAATACATCTTTTATTTTAAAAGTAAATTCCACAGGAGCCATTGAGCTCCGTATCAAAACTGTTCTGGAGGTTCTGCATGTGAGAGCAAAATGTTACTCTGGAACTTTTCCTGCAGCCTGCTACTAAACTCTGCACTTCAGGCTCTGGACTCTCTCCAGAGTTTTTCCTTCACACAGAAGACAACAGCAGGAAAATGTCTGGAACCTTCACAATGTTCCCACATGTTCGGACGATCTGCTGCTTCACAAACACTGACCACACAACATGTCTACACAACGTGTTTCCCAGAGTTCAGTCAGAAATCAGCTTTACAAACTGTTGGTGCACTTCACCAGATGATCTTCAGACTCTTTAAACTTGGCCTCGGTCTTTTTTCACAGCGTGGTTCTTCTGGTGAATCTCAACAGTCGGGTGAAGAGTGCAGCCTCTGTCCTGAGACGCTCCCTGACACGAGGGTGACGGCCGAGCCTTCATCCTTAAGGCCGAAGGCCCCCCCACTGCATGAGACTGTGACATCACCGCTCCACCCAGCGACGCCGCAGGGTGTTTCCCTCTGACAGACGGACAAACAGCCATGGACAACGAAATGTGCAGCGTGTCTGTGATCTCACGTGAGCGAGACGACGCTTCATGTAAACGAGGTACAAATTTACACCTGATGTAGAAACATAAAGTTTCTCTCTGTGACTTGAAACCTTCGCTCATCTTTATCCTGCTGCTGCTGATGAAGTTCATTAATCCTGTGAGATTAATGAACTTCATCTTATCGCATTAACTCGGAGCTCACACCCCTGAAGACGTAAATCCCACCTCACGGATAGAAAGTTTGTTTTTTAAAGAAAAACTTGCAGCTCACGTTTGTTTCAAACAAACGAACACGAGGAAACAAAGACGTGTGTGTGAGGCCGGATGAACATTTGTCTCAGTGACTCAGTAAAGATGGACGACGTGCGTCCTCTTCCTCAAACTGAGATGAAACTGAAACATCGCGGGGCGGAGCTGTGTCATTAAGATCCCGCCCATACACACTCTCAACCAATCATGACGTCTCCGCCCGTTTTTACATCAACGACTAAATAAACAAACGGATGAGAAACACTTGAACAATCATCAGAGAGAGAAGAACGAAACATCTGTGACAAACTTTTATTTAACGTCTACTTTGAGTTTTTACTTTGGTTCATGTCCCGCCTGCTAACATGGAGGAGGAGGGTTCATGAGCTGTACTGCAGACAGCCACCAGGGGGCGATCCAGGTGATGTGGCTCTAGTTTAGGCAGCTGTCACGTCGTCCATCTTTATTTTCAGTCTGTTTCGGACCAAACAAACTTAAAAAAGGAAAAGTGTTGAATATGATTCACATTTGAAATCAGTCAACATTCGCATCCTCCACTTTTATTATCGGTGCAGCTGAAGAAAAGAATCACAGATAAACTGATTTGTTCTGAGGAAAGTTTAAAGTTAGATTCTAAACTTTGCTTTTGTGATTTTTACTTAAAAAAAAACAAGACAAACATCTTGTTTCTAACGATGAAAACAATAATGTCTCAGTCAAGCTTTCGTCGTGTGTGTGTCAGTAAATCATTAATGCCCATGAAATAATTATCTCAGTATGAAATAATGATGTCAGGAGCAGCCGCGTGTGCACAGAACACTGTACATATCAGCGCGACATGTGTAAATGGAAGTAAACAGGAAAAGGAAGCTTTAGCTGAGGCAGGATTACAGATTAAAATCCCACTGAGAGCAGCTGGTCCTTATGTTCCAGCTCGTATGAATTCATCCAGCGTTTGTTCACTGGGACGTGACTTTGTCCTCAGGACGCTTTTAAACGTTCACTTGTTGGACTCCGGGGCAGATTCCTCGTGTTTACATCAGCTGCTCTGTTTCTGCACAGTCGGCTCGTTTGCTCAAACTTTTAACTTCATGCGAAATTAAATTCTAGAAACATTTCTGCTCTTTGGAAGCAGAGACATGAGATCGGAACGTTTCAGTCAAGTCTTCTGAACGCAGCTCGATGTGGAAACACTGACGGTTGGATGATGTCACACACGTCGACTGTAACAGAAGCAGGTGAACGTCCCTGATTCGGTAAATCAGCTGTGAGCCACAAACTGACCCCAACGTCTCAACGTCTCTTCTTCATCATCGCTCCTGTTTGTTTGAGTTCACAGACGAGCGTCACTGTGATCTGAACAAAACCCAGATTCAGATTCTGCATCTTCTCAACGTGTTTTATTTTCTCAGCAGATTTACATAAACTTTTCTTTATGACGACGTCATCATAAAGTTGGAGTCTCGTTGAGGCTGAAAATCTTTGTTTCGTCTCCTCAGA